GGGATAGTACTGATATTTGGTGGGGTTTTCCAGAGAAAGGATGGTGTATAAGTGCAAAATGGATACATATAACAAATATTTTGTTGTTTCAGAATGAAGTGAACGACCGAGAGCTGGCTGCCCTTAAGGCTGTGCTCAAGTCCATTGAAGAGCATAAGCTTGAGGAGCAGTATCCAGTGGATCCTCTTCAGAAACGGGTTCTTCAGCTGGAAAAGGCCAAAGCAGACAAGAAGAGGGTGGCTGAAGCAGCAAAGCCTCAGCCCAAGAGACCTCGTGCTAACGGTGTTGGATATGCTCCCCGCGTCACTAATGTTGTTACTGACAAGACTTTCTATCCTAGAGTTGCTGATAACAGGTACCCGCAATACGTGTATGACAGACAGTTTGTTTACCCGGGACCTGCTGACAACCATTGCCCCTCCCTGCTGGGTTCTGCTACGTACAACATGTCTCCTGCTCATGGAAACTACTATGCAACCGGCTACCAGTACCAGCCTGCGGCGTACCTTCACTAATTTGAGGCCAAAAAAGTGACACTGATCCTCCTCAGTTTAACGGTTAGTCTTTAACCCTCTGAGTTCGTCGATGTTCAATGTAAGAATGATATTAGTATCCGAAAAAGACCCCAGAAAAAGAAAAAAAAAAAAAAAAAAGTTGTCTTGTTAAATTGTTAGTTGGATTTACAAGAAGATATTTGATCCTCTAATATATGTACTTTGTTTTTACTTTTGTATATGTTTTTCTTTTATCTACCTTATGTTTTAGTTTGAGTGCATTCAAAATGCACATAGCCAACAGGCTGATCATTCAAGGAGGTATTTTTGACATGCTGAAAACTTTGAAGGGATCGTGCCAGTTTTAAATAAGAAAACCTCTCAAGTATTTTATAACATAACGTACCGGAAGTGGTATTTATGCCTCGTACCTCCGGTGATCGTATATTGAAACGTTTCGATGGAAAATTTTCATCGGTAAATCGTGAGGATCCAGTCATCCAAGTGTGGAGGTATTTTTGCAAACATTTTTCTTTCACAATAATTGGTCAAGTAGTTAGCAAGTATGGAGGTTATTATTAGGAGAGAGAAATAAGTTTCTTCAGCTTGAGTTGGGTTAAAAATACGGAATGTATTAGCACAATCACTATTTTCAAATAAAGTATTTTCTACGTTAGCATCATGAATAGTAGAAATGGATGGAATTGCTAAAGAATCAACTGTAACCCTAAAAGAACCAGATTCCGTAAACAACATAGAGGGAGAATGAAGGGAATATCTTATCGAAGCATGAATCTCTCTAAAGTACTGACAAGTGCATTGACCGGTTTTTTCTAAGTCTGTTGATACCAATGTCGTGTTCGAATCAAGAATGAGATCATTTTCACAAAGAGGGACGCTAGATAGAGAAATAGCTCTTCAAAATGCAGAGGAATTTCTCACGCCATGAACAATTATTTAGTTTAATGACACTCTTTATTTGGTTTAATGACACTCCGTCTTTATTTAGTTTGAGAAAATGCTCAATTCTCATATCATGAGTTGAATTAGAAAAGTTATTCATCCCACGCTAATGTTATGTCAGTCATCAAAATTCACCACGCTAAAATAGCACAACTTTATTTTTCTTATAGTTCTTTTTGGTCATATTTATTTATCTTCAAAGTTTTGGTACCAACTCTAAAAGAATATAAACTACATTGATTTATCTTCTAATTAAATAGGATAAATTTGGTATATTCGCACAGGTTTTGAGTCGTGTGACATATCGCATCTAAAATTGTCATTTTTTGCCATGAAACAATAGATACTCTAATTACCTCCTCATGCACTCTCTATTTTTGTGTTCTACGTTTTGATTTATTCTATTGACATTTTACTGCAGTGATGAAAAACAATATGCCTATTTGTGTGTTCGATCCCCATTGAGCCTCCTTCTCTTTAACAACTAAAAATTTGACATACCAACGCTATCGTTTGTAAAAAATAAAAAAGTCTAACAACAAGTAGAAGACAGAAATGTCATGAGAAAAAAAGGAATGTGAATTACGTTCTTTGCCATCCAAAAATAAAAATTGTAGACATAAATTGGGCTGGACTCTTGGGTCATGGGTTGCTTTTGTTACTACCCAAAATCCACCATCCAATTCCATTGATCATCCTTTACCTTCTTGGCCTTATCTTCTCTCTGTCCATCTCCCTCTCACTCCTCTCCAATGGAGTCCCTCTCCATGATCCTCTCCTTTTCTCCACCACCCCAAAACCACCTCAAAGCCCAGAAACCGTCCACCTCTCCACCAACCTCTCTTCCCCAAACCACCACCATTCCCGCCATTTCCACTTCCCTGCTACCCAATTCTTCCCAATTCCAATTTCCCTCCACCAAAAACACTCCTCACACCCCAATTTTCCTTCTCAAACCCACTCATTTCCCTCACAGATTACCAAAAACCCAACTCAAATTCCTCCTCACCGAGCTCATTGCAACCACCCCATTTGCCCTTCCTTCTTTCGCTTCCGAATCCGCAGCCTCCGCACCGGAGCAAGTTTCCGACAAAATAAACCTGGAATCAATCTTGGTCTCGATCGATGACTTTTTCAATCGGAACCCGTTTTTCGTTGCTGGGTGCACGTTCGTTTGGCTGGTTGTGATTCCTCTGGTTCAGGCGTATTTGAGAAAGTACAAGTTTGTCCTCGTCATTGACGCGTTTCGGAAGCTCCGGGACGACCCGAATGCTCAGCTGTTGGATATTCGAGACGAGAAGAGCTTGGGGTACCTGAAGTCTCCGAATTTGAAGATTTTGAACAAGGGTACTGTGCAGGTTCCGTTTTCGGAGGATGACGAAGCTGGGTTTGTGAAAAGGGTTTTGGAGAGGTTTGCGAACCCAGCAGAGACTGTGCTTTGTATTCTGGGCAAGTAAGTGTAAAGATTTTGCTTTAGCTTCATCTTTTACTTGAATTTATGCTAGAAGTGGTTTTATTATAAACGTATAAAAATTTATGTTAAAAATCCAAGTGCTTCCTTGGAAAAGCACTTCTACAACCAAGGAGGGTTTTTTTTTTTTTATTTTTTTTTTAAACGTAGTAAGCACTAAAAGTGCTCTCAGAAGCAATCCCAAGCATGCCTTAGATATGGATTGATAGTTTAGGTCTATGATGAGTGTCTAGTTCTAGGAGAAAAACTTACCTCCAATGCTAGTGTGACGGTATCCCAAGCCAGCTTAAATACCGCCGTAATGACATCCCGTGGAAGGAAGATAAGTTTATTTCATTTTTTTGGATTTAAAGGTATGTGTAATCTCAGTATCGGTTTCTCTTGTTGGAAGGTAGTTTTGATGGAATTTCCATCAAAGTGGCTGAGTTACTGTTCAAGAATGGTTTCAAAGAGGCTTATGCAATCAAGGGTGGGGTTGGAGGTACAAAAGGGTGGCTGGTAAGCGTCTTTTCTTTTCTTTTAGTTTCCGTTTCACGTTATCTGCGATTAATTTGAACTGTAGCTCCATTGAGATCAGCCTTTGTGTTGATGCTTTTCAGGAGAATGTAGTTGAATTGTTTTTTGATTCATTAATTCTTGGTAGATTTTTTTGGATGTGTAAGATTCTGATGGAACCATTCAAATTCCGAATGTAGTAGAGAACCTATAACCCTAGAGTGAGGAACAATTTTCCTTTTCTGGATTTGTGTACCAGCACCATAAAAAGTTATAAGGGCATACATTATGCATATGGGAAATTTTGAATTCTCCGACTGCTTAAGTTTTTCTGTTGTACCGATAACGACCTAATTAAAGCAAAATTTCCAAGTTGACTAGTGAAATGATTTACTGCATAGGTTTGAAATTGCTTCTAGGGTGTTTTAAAGACTGTTTGACGAGTGCGTATAAGAATTCTGAAGCTGCAGTTCAACTTTTAACACGAGGATTTGCTAAAGTGTGTTGGCCAGTTTTGTTTTCTTAGATAATGTGTTTACCTTTTTCCTCCTCAGGAATCACAAGAAACTCTTTTGCCACCTTCTATGCATATCTACCCCAAGAAGAAGGTTAAAACTTCACAAGAAACTGTGGCAAACGGAGTTGTTCAGGGAAAGGAAGACAGCAATGGTGCTGTCACTTCTAGAAATTTGTCCACAGGAGAAAGTCAAACGACAGACAATGGACGCACAACCAAGTCTACAGACTCCGCATCACAAATGAAAAATGGCTCTAGATCATCCTCTCCCTACCCAAGCGTATGTTCAGTTTCTTTGTCATTAATAATTACTAGTTACAAAAGATTACATATCCTTAATTATCGACACCGTATGCTTTACCTTAAAAGATGGTTTAATCTCATTCGTTCTAGAGTTATGGCTTCCATTAACCAATGTTGGTGGGTGGATTTTGCACAATCCATTGGCAGTTTCAAATTTCTTTTCCAATAGGGTCATGTCTGTTTGTTCATGTACGTTTTTTCATTTTGGTTGTTTCCGATGCAGTATCCAGATTTGAAACCGCCATCTTCCCCAACTCCATCGAAGCCCTGAGATCGACGCTGTGACTTGTCTTGCTCAGAAGTGGTGCCTCCGGTTGGGCGAAGCATATTTTTTCACAAGTTTTGCCGATCATTAGTTCTATATTCATCATATCGAGGAGAGGTTATTGATAAATGACCGGCGTTGTATGTCTTAGTAGCAGTAAATTTCTAGTTCTGAATTTTCATATCAGCTGTATATTTTGTAATAAGTGCGTTTGAGCTAACATTTGTCCCATGGTGATCGTTGCAGCGGAACCGTGTTATGAAACCATTCGAAAATGCACAAATCTTCCATGTGGTGTTGCATTGTGTTATGTATAAATGTTACCTCTCTGGTGGGGAAAAAAAAAAAAAAGCCCCTTTGGACAATGCCCCTGTGATTAATCGCGTTATCAGTCTCAGTTCAAATGAAATTTCCGTCTAAATTCCTTATAAATTTGTAATTGTGTAACCATATGACATTGTGCGCAGAATGTGGATGAAAATATCGATACAAACTAAAGACTAGTAATGACTAATGAGTTTGCCAGAGGTAATATTGAGATGAGAGAGGGAAAGGAAAAAAGAAAAGAAAAAAGGGGTGTCAAATCCCGTGTAATTAAACGACACTTAAAATGTTCTCTAAAATTGACCCATTTAATTAAGAATCTAAAATTGACCAATGTTGTCTCTGAATATTAGTGCTACACATCAATCTTATCATTTCGTAAGAATTTTATCAAAACATCTGTTAATGTGCTGATATGACATACATAAGAGTCATACTTAGATCCAAAAATAAAAAATCAATTAAGTTTCTCTGCCGCAGTCCGGCCTGACCAGCCAAAACATTGCAAATCCTTTCACAAAACCTGTCCCCAATGGACTCAACCCATACAAATTATTCTTACATAAAAGATGCCCATGCAGTAGAAGTTTTGACGGAATTATAACAGAAGGATGACATTAATTTCAAGCATTTATATCCAAATACTACATTGATCAATTTTCATCTTTGAAATCTTATTGATTGAATAGGTCAATTTTAAGGATCATTTGTGATAAAAAAAAACCCTTTTGAAATTTAAACGACATGAGAAGCAAAGAATTTCAAACCCGATTTGAATTCTCAATTACAAGGAAAGGAAAATCAAACGAATTTTATGGAGGTTTTGGGATGGGATGGAGCCCTCTCGTCACGTGACTTCTATGTCGCAGCACGTGCTTTTGCCGACAACCGGAAAGAATTCAACTCCGACTTGCCTCCATGGAATTGGGTTCCTTCTCCTCATCTTTCTCAGTTGCAGCAGCAGCAGCAGGGCTACTTGTCATTGGAGAGGATTTGCCTTCACGGGTCAAGCAAGGTAGGACACGTGGGTCAATGTGTATTAAGACAGGCGGCTTCTCGGATTAAAAATCTGCTAATCATACTTTGTTAATTTAATTAATGATCTGTCTTAGGAAGATGTTAATGAAGAGAATCACACTGGGGAAGAAGAGGCGTCCGAGCCCGTTGATAATGCCACTCTGGTGAGCATATAGCTGACCATATTGTAAGGATTTTGTTAGCGACAGTCCTCCACGCGCAAGCCACGACTCCAACCATTGATTCATTGATGGCGTGGGCGACTAACTCGAGCATTGCCATTTTTAGTATTTCCTGTTTGAAAGGTTGAGACCAGTAGTCCTCAAGTATGTTACTACGACTTCCATATAGTCTACAGTGATTCATATCGGTTTCCCGTGCTGTATTTTCGCAGTTACCACATCGGTATGTTAACCTGTTTTCGGCAACTTAAGCAGAAAAATTCAAGCGTTAATGTTCGTAACATTGAATGATATATATAGATGGACAGCCCTTGGCATTGGAAGAAATCGAAAAGGACCTACCTGCTTGCTGCTCATCGAAGGTTTTACTGGAATCAAAATGGGCATTTATAACTCAGGAGGTACGTATTCCTCAATCTCCATCGCAATCAAAATTGAAGAAGAAAATCTGTTCAATGAATCATGCAGAACTGTGTCTTCCTCACAACAATGGAGTAAACCGGACGTGAACCCGAAATACCAGATCGCATTATGTAGTTTGCTCATCCTTACAATTGTAGAAAAACCTTTTCAAATAAGCTAATTGATGATTTAAAGTAACAACGTTTTGACGCCGGACAATTGGGATTGCTAACCCTATCTTCCGTTTTGTGCTACTCCTTAATGGCAGGTTCGGGAGAATGAACAGATTCTGTTGTATTTAACATTTTAAGTTCATCCTCACTTCTATTAGCTGTCCGAGTAAAGTGAACCAGAAATTCTGTATTGCCCTCAGCACCCTTAAGAGGAGACTCGATCCATCCTTTGCTGCTAAATCCAAAATTCTCTACACCCTTGATAATCCTATCAAGAACCTATTCAATAAAACTTAATCAATATCAGGCTGTAAACAATCAAAACATTAATCGAATTCAGTGATTAATTGATTAAGTACCATTATTTAGCAATTTGATAATTATGTTGCATTATCACGAAGCTGATGAACTTACGATTAGTGAAACAGCCAGTTACAAGGGGGCATACACTAGGCCTCGGTTAGGGCTAAAAAACAATTATGACTTAACAAGACGGTGAAAAATAAAAGGGACACCTGTTCTCTTTTAGATATTAGGCTGAAAGAAACCAGATAAAAACAAGGAAGAAATGCTTACTTCTTGATGGACTAATGGATCCCTCACAATCCCACCACTTCCTACCTGCAAAGAAAATGAACTTCTGAATTGTTAAACTTTTGCTTACAATGTTTTCTGGACAAGGTTTTGTTGGGAGATGATGATGTTGTTGTTGTTGTTGTTTTCTGGACAACATCGATCCTTATCTTATCATTGTGCATTTGAAATTAGAATATTCTAGATTTTCCACCCTCGAAAGTACTGAAAGCCAACACGCGACTAAAACAGAAAACAAATCCAAACTATCTGTAAATTACGTAGAAATTGCTCCATGCATTGAGCACAATAAAGAGTAGAGAAAACTTACAAATGTAGACCTATCAGAGTCTGCCTTAAGTTTTATGCAAGGATTAGTATGAAGAGAAAAGTTTGCTCAATCAAAGCAACACAACTTTCTTATACAGAGTGGTGCATATACATGCAAAGGAAATATTCGTTATTCTGGAAACGTCCAGATATAAATGCACAATATTTTTCATGAATTCCTAGTTCGAAAGGTTTTTTTTTTTTAAATATCAAATAGCAGTTGCATTGGCATACTGTTGTAGCCTGGATAAGGAAGGTAACTCCTTCTCTATATTGTCATCTCTGCTATACTTTCTAATTTCAAGTAAAATAAATCGAAATAGCTTCCAAAGGTAAGTATGGGTTGATGTAAGAGGTTGATGTCAGACTCTTACTTGTGATCTGCGAGCTTCAAATTGAGGTTTAACCAGGGTGACCAGTGTCGCCTCTTCCTTCATCACATTGACTATAGCAGGCATGACCTGCTTCCAAATTAAAAGAAGCCTTGACCAAGTGTAAAACCCATAGGCATAATAGTGAAAAAAAGCTACCTAGCCTTCAAATTTCTTAGAAAGTATATTTTTTTCCATGGGGAATAGGCGAATAGCACATAGAGAACATACAGAATTATACAAGCAACAAATCCTCGGAATTTCCAGTAACAGAAAATAAAAGTGAGATTGGAACAGCCAAAGAACCAGACAACAATATACATTTACAAGTATTTGAAAGCGTACCAATAGAATGGAGATGAAAGAGAGGTCCAAAGTCACCAAGTCAACTTTTTGAGGGAGTCCAGGAAGGTATCTTAAATTTGTTCTTTCTATCACGCTAACACATTCATGCTTCCGAATTTTTTCTGCCACCTAATGATAAGCAATCAATTGTTGAGTAGAGGAATATCAAAGAGAAGTAAGGCACAGGCCACGGTAATTCCATTCAATTTTCATTTCTATAGTCATGAAAATTAGAGGGAAAAAAAGAAACTCCAACCCTGCTGATAAACCTACATTTTCAATTAATGGAACAAAACTTGAATTACTACCTAATAATTGTATTACCTGCCCATAACCTACATCAACTCCATAAACAAATGATGCACCGTACTGAAGTAAGCAGTCAGTAAATCCACCAGTTGACAACCCAGAATCAAGAGCTACTTTGCCCGAGACATCAATACCTAGCTGTTCAATGGCAGCTTCTAACTTGTGTCCTGCTCTGGATGGACAAAATAGGTACAAATTAGAACAGAAGGTCTCGCTAAAGTTACAGCACAACCACATTTTCAGTATAAACGAAGCAAAAGTTGGTTTGTCAAAGTGAAGTAATCACCTACATACATATTTTGGGACTTCAGCCATTATCTGTACATCAGCTTTGTCTGAGACTGGAGTCCCGGCTTTGCTGACTACCTTTCCATCCACAAATACTTTCCCTACACCAGTAAACATGAACCAAAATTACCTCCATAGTCCCTACAATGTCATATATATTTAACAGCAGTTTCAGCTCATATAAAAGATGAAGTAATGTGCAAAACAGATTTTCACGAACATTTACTACAGTCAGAGTGACAAAAATCCTGAATTTTATATGCTGAAGTTGACTACAAACCAGTTTAGATCTTTACCCAAATTTCTTTCTAGAGAAATATGCAAAAATGAAACCGGTCATAAACTTACAATCAAAATAGAATAGAGGGAAACCAACAATAAGCAGTATTTACACCACGGTTTAGCGCCATTTTATCATCCATATAGTGTCCCTCCTTCTTTTCGATTCAAAGATATAACCGCTCTATTTGTGCATATTCCCTTCTTTCTATCAATGACCCTTGTAATTCAACTGTAATGCTCACCTTGTAAGATCCACGACTGGATGAAGGTTCGACTATATTGTTGAAACCTTTCGAGGCATACCTCATCTAGCCTCTTCCTCCTAAAATTGTCATTTTTCAAACACAAAAGTAAATATATAATTAACGAAAAGAAACTTCACAGATTGTCATTAGTCAAGCGTAGACCCAACACTAATTGCAAAATGTGTAAATTTATAAATTAGTATGGAGATTAAAAAGCTTACTTCTTTGGTGGTAGAGCCTTTGCAAACTTCACAGAAGCAAAGGTTCTATGCATTGGCACTCCGACCCATCTCGCTGAACATAAAACCCAGTTTAAAGAATTAGAGATTTCAAGTGTTAGACCACAAAAAATGAAAAACCTTATAATACAATTGCCATGTAAAGGACAATAATGCAGAGCCAAATGATAGCACCCCAGGTGCTTGTGAAAATTCCCCAATGAAAATTAAGCTACTTTCGACTTGGAGAATCAAATTATAGCAACAAAAATAAAACCAGATGGAGAGGAAGAGAGAAGGACCAGGGAGTTCCTGTAAGTTGGGTTGCGAGAAGAGAAAAGAGAAGGTTGAACTCGTTCTTGCAAAACGGCAGGAGATTACGGTGTGATTTGGGAGCTTGAGAAGCTGAAGCCCCATATCTGATTCTCTGTCTGCACATCCGCTAGTGGAGGCTAAACCCGATTTGAGTAGTTTGCTCTTGGCGGTTTCAATTGGGTCGGGTCTGTAATTGGGTCAACAACATAACATATTTTAGTTCAAGGTTTGGATTGGGCTTTGGTTTTTCGTACTTTTTAGCTGAAATGTTAAAACCTTTGAAAAATATTTAAATCTATACACATATTTTACATCTAAATGGTTTAAGTTGCAGTCATAGACGTAATTATATTGGCTGTAGTAGATGTGGGTCTACATATGCTTTTGAGATTGAATTCACTACAGTTTGGATTTGTTTTGAGTTATATGTCGCTTGCATAAAAATATGATTTTTTTGGTCAAACTAAGCTACTTTCATAAAATAAAAAGACTAGTATAAGGAAAAGGGAGCCCAAAAGGCAGCACATAACCTAAATACAAGTCCAAGAGGGAAAAGCAAATACAACAGAAAGCCTAAAAGGACCCAACTGAGAAACAACCCAAAAAACCCTAAAAATGGAGAGGAAACCAACATCTACCACCAAGTCAGCCGACATGCCTCCATTGCAAGGTCACCACCACCACCAAGAGAACGAACCAAACGAAACAACTGGATCAACAGAAAATAGGGGTCAGCGAGCCACCAACGCAGTGAGCGCTCCCATAATCCTACCAAATAGTGCTAAATGCACTTAGCCACCAAAAACCCAAGCTCGCTGTCAAGGAGAAGCACTTGGACTGAGTAGCAGTGGTTGGTAATTAAGGACATGCGACGAAAAGAAGCATCGGAGAAAGAGAGCTGCATAAAGGCCTCGGTTTGAGACAAACTTAGGGGAATTGAGACAAACCCCAAGGAATTGAGAGAGCTCAAGGAAAGCCAAAGTAAAGGAAAAGTAGAGTAGTGCAGGAAAAAAAGCAGACACAGAGGATGAGAAAAAAGAAACTAGAGGAAAGCTTGAAATGGAAAAGCAAAGAGGGGGATGGGGGTGGGGGTGAGGGATATGGGGAGGGGGTGGAGGAGAAAGGTTCTGGGAAGGGGAAGTGGGGGAAATCGAAGGAAATGGTGGAAACCAAAAGAACAAGGTGGAAGAAAGGGGAAGATGGAGGTGGTCGAAAAAACAAGGAGAGATGGTGAGAAAGGGAGGAAACAAGAGAGTGGAAGAAAGGGGGAAAGGGAGGAAGGCGAGGAGGGAAGGGCATTGGGCTACCGCTGACCCCAAGCCGGAGCCAAAGGCCGACGTCAAGGAGGGTTGCAGAAGTTTAGGGGTTTTTGGGAGAGAGAGAGAGAGAGGCAAGGAGTCATAGGAGAGGCACTAAATTTTCTACCTTTGTATAAAAAAACATGGTTTAAAAGTAAATTTCTTTGACTAGTAATATGTTTGTGGTTTAAAAGTAGAGAATCAAACCTAAGACCTCTCACTTACAAGTGAAAAAGAATACCACTAAATCATAGTACTAAGTGGCATGCTTGAATCAATTGTTAATACTAAGATCAATAGGGTTTAGGGATATAACCAAAGCGCACATAACTATATTATTGCTAGCCTATTATGAGGCTTAGCCCACCACCCCTTTAATGTAGATAATATTGTTTGTTCAAAAATAATCAAATATATGGTGCAATAATAGTCGATTGCATGCATTAACAGTTGGTAGAATTTTTCTTTCCCTAAAGAATCCCAACCAAATTCATAATATAAAACTTGGACTTTGGGAATATGTGTACGGTGTCACACAGCAGATGAGGACCAGAAAATGTCTATCCTAAACCAACTACCCTGTCCCACCAATTTTTCAGTTTATGACTTGTAACCATATCAGCCGTTAAACCAACTACCCTCTCCCGCCATTGCTAATTTGCTACCGTTCTTACAGTTTACACAAATTAACCACCAACTACTAAGCAGCAGCAATGGCAGCAACGCAAGCCAAAACCCCTTCGCTTTGTTATTATGCTCGTCAACTTCACAACCATATTCCTGCATCATCCCTATCACTTGTTGGTAATAATCTTAAATCCAACCACCACAAGAAGCCCCTCAAATTCACCTGCAGATCCAGCGGCCAGGATGTAACGATTCTTTCTTTGATCATTGTGTTTAACTTTTGTAATGTTAATTTCTGTATTTTTTTTATTTTATTGATTTCTGACTATATTTTCTTTGTCAGGATTATTACATTGATGCTCCTGTTGAAATCGGTGATGGATTTTCCTTTAGTGGAGGTGCTTACTTAATTCTGGCATTTTTGAGGGAGCTGTTATTTGCGCTCCAGTTATGTCATCCCGCTCTTCACGTGCAGGATGACTGTTTTTGAAGTGCTAATAACAATTATATTTCTCGCTTGTGCGTATGTGTGTGTTTATATATAAAGTTAAGTGGAAATGTGGGTGTTTTGGCAGGAAAGTATTCTGATGGACCAAGTCCTTCCGATGAATGGTTTAAGCAAGGGAAGATAGTGAGTCCCTTTCCTATTTTTCTTTCTTATGTTTTTTGTTAATTTAACCATTGGAAAGCCACTTGCACTTTAGCTCATGCTTAAACCGTAACTTCGATTTATCATTTTCCTCTAGGTGAAAGCTTATGCTGCTTTTGGTTCTGGCGAGAAGGCAAAAGACCCGATTTTTGGACTCGCAATGGGTGCTGATTCTCAGGCCTCCACTGATGTTTTCAGGTGAGCTTATAAATTACCTTTAGACATTCTTTAGTTAATGTGTTTGTTTATATGATTCTGTGGAATGCAGACATTGAGATTGGATTATTTGCAGGGTTTACCAATTGAAACATGCTCTGTATATATGATTTTGTTCCATAGATGGTTTTGCGTTGAATCCGGAAGTGCTGATAATCCTTCAGTTATATTAATTCATGGTTTTCCTTCTCAGGTGAGTCAGTCTTAATTTGTCAATGCAGTAGGATAGGAAGCCTTCTACCATTTTTGTGTTGTTGTATCTGTATGATCGATCGATGCATGTTAAACGCATGTTTTAAATTGTGAAATCCGTGTTCAAGTTCCCCATCTATGTCTTGATATTCTTCTGTTTATTCATAAATGTGTTCAAATCATCAGGCATACTCTTATCGCAAAGTTCTTCCCATACTCTCAAAGGACTATCACACGATTGCTTTTGATTGGCTCGGTAAGAATCAAGACCACAAGTTTATCTTATATCCTGAATGCAGTTCAAATTCTTAACATGAACTACTCATGCGATTCAATTTTTGCTTCGCTTGAAAAGCAGTTCAATCTGTTGCTTATTGCATCTGCCTTCAATTGCAGGCTTTGGATTTTCAGATAAGCCTCAACCCAAATATGGATTTGACTACACTATGAATGGTAATTGTTTTTGGTCTTCTCTCCTATGAAGTCAGGCAGATAAATGTAAAAAGTACTCTTGTTTATGTCGTCGAGTTTTTCATGGTTTTGCAGAGTTTGTAGCATCCTTGGAGTCATTCATAAACGAAGTTACTGTTAACAAGGTCACGCTCGTTGTCCAGGTATTTTGTTTCTCCAGTGAATATATAAACATGTAATTCAAAGCCTGCAATTGAAAAGAACTCTGATCTTTAATGTGCCTCTCAGGGATACTTTGCGCCGGTTGTAGTTAAATACGCTAGCAGTCATCAGGAAAAGATTGACAACATAATACTCTTAAATCCTCCGGTATGTACTCTCCCGAAATCCACCATTTCTTTCTTGGTTTTTTTACTCATACTTTGTCATTTTGAACAAATTGCGGAGTTTTCGCAAGGTTTTCTTATTTAGAAATCGCCGTCTTATTTCTCAAGAAGAAATCTGAAGATTAGAAACAGAATTATGATGGATGTTATAGTGTTATCTTGCTGCATTGTAAACTTATTCAGGCAGATAATGTCATCTTTTCTTTTTATTAAAGCTAACAGAGAAGCATGCCAACCTTCCATCAACCTTGTCAATTTTCAGCAACTTTTTGTTGGGTGAAATATTTTCTCAGGTAAGAAAATATTCATTTTCTGTTTGGTTGCCGGGAAAAAAGAGTATCATTCCAATGTGAACTTGGTCATTAACGTTCTCTGTGTGATGATCGACTAGGATCCCTTGAGGGCTAGTGATAAAGCCTTGGAAAGCTCCGGACCTTACAAAATGAAAGAGGACGATGCTATGGTCTACAGAAATCCTTACCTCACATCTGGAGCATCCGGTTTTGCACTAAATGCAATTAGCAGGGCCATGAAGAAAGAGCTGAAGGTGAACCTTCTTATCATATATTGTACTTTAGTATTTCGTCGATTTCCCTCCTGCATGTGCACCTTACTGCCGATTTTCCTCTTAAAGTTCCATGAGTGGCCAATTTCCTCCCTACCATCATGTTTTACTAATATCTCACATAATTTTCTGTTCATAGAAGTCCAATGCCAGCCATTAAATTATGCAGGCCCGGCCCTGAGGGGAAACAGGTGGTGGCCACCGTACAGGGCCCTGGATTTGTATTAGAGTTTGGCTGAAAGCATAATCAATTTTTCATGAGACCGGGTTATTATGCTGCTAATGCAGTTTCTTATGCTGCTTTTGGCAGAAGTATGTGGGAGAAATGAAGACGATACTAACAGAGGAAAACTGGAAAGTTCCGACCACAGTTTGTTGGGGCAAAAGAGACAGGTGGTTGAGTTATGACGGTGTTGAAGAATTCTGCAAGAATTCTAAGCATAAGCTTATTGAAATTCCTATGGTACCACCCTCTTCTATGCACATATGCAGGACAAGTTTTAGCTTTACACACACACATAAAATATATACACCGTCCAACAGATTAATGTTTTTATGTTAACCTTGTTCGATTGTCTGACGTTTTTAGTTTTGAGAACTCACACAATCCGGGCATTTTCAGGCAGGCCATCACGTGCAGGAGGATCGCGGCGAAGAACTTGGGGAAGTCCTTAAGGGGATTATCAGAAGAAGCCGTTTTGGTCTTTAATACTTTTATCATTGCTTATTTGAGAGAATTAAAGGGTAAATCAACTTCCATGTTTCTTGTGTTAGTATATAGATTTTTGAGATTTTTGAGATAGTATATAAATTTTACCAATTGAATGCTACAAATTGTAATACTATTCACAAATTCCATATGTATGCTATGAAAAGGCACCATGAACAAATAATGAAAAATGTTCTAATATTCTTGCTATCCAGAATTGAATTTTGTGTAAATTTAAATCGTATTAAGAATAATGGACAATCCAGTTACAATTTTTCATATAGCTATAGCAGCATGTACACTGAAAGGTTGAATTTTTTTGGGAAGATGCTTTTTATTTTCTACTTTTTTGAGCAGCTGCTTTTACATGATATCCAATTTTTGGATGCTGTGATTGGTTAGAAAATCAATCTCTTTCTGTTTTTACTTTGCTGTGATGTTCTTTTGGAATGGATCAATCCAGCAATTATCTTCTCTGATTGCCCTTTTCCATCTGTTCTTGAAAATTTCCAATTCAGCTAAGGATAGCTTCCTTACCTGAACATAATAGATGCATGAACGATGAATTTGAAGAATCCCTAAGTTCGCGGTACAAGCTTTGGGCTAGGAGAAATATTTATGCTACAAAGAACTTCAGTAGAATTCTTACCTCGGTTCTAGGGTCAGATACCGGCTGTTCTGAACTAGGCAAGCTTATATTTTGAGCAGGTTGATCATTTGCATCAGCATTTGTCTGCATTGGTGATTTTCGCCATTAGTGAGATATAAACAAATCATACGAAAATTATAACTTCGCAAAACAGACGAGTGGGGAGAGACAGGGAGTTGTACAAAATTTCTGACCTTGTTTGCTGCCGAACCCCCCAATGAAGGAATACCATAATGAATAATGTACTCAGAATCAACAATTCCGATATTTTTAGTTCGATCACCCTGTAAAGGATTGATTCGGACATGAGAAATGTACAGAATATAATGGGTGAAGAAAAGATGTAATTTACAAGATGGAAAAATTGCCTGTGCACAATAACCAAGCTGGAAATCCAAGCCCCAAGCATGAACTAAGTCATTCTGTTTAGGAGGGGGAAAAAGGTGAAGAAATAAAGAACTGTTAAAAGTCTGATTCATTGACCAAAACCTGATTATAAATGAGGTTTAGCTTCCTGCTGATCTCATCCTTTTCGATAATACAAGTTAAAACCCGAATCTAACCTTATCATTAAGCAATGCAGAAGACTTAAACCTTGTTGTACCTGAATCATATGCCATATGCAGCGCCACGATGCTCGTGAAAACACAGGAGCCATCATTTCAACAAACCTGCCCATACATATAATTAAGAGGTGTAGGAACGCATGCAGCATACATGGATTGATGCACGTGTGAGTAAACTATAATCATCTATGTGTGTATGCAAAATTCGTACCCTGTGCATGGAGGATCAGTGCTGTTTTCATCACACTTCCTTCCACCACGAAGCGTCTTGTTTATCTTCCTGTTAATGCATCACCAACCAAAAGATTGGAGCAATTTAGGAAATGTGAAAGAGAAACGTTACTTCGACCTAAGTTCAAGCAAATACTGAAGAATATACTCAGAATACATGAGTATTAATAGAGCCTGCGGCCAAATTTCCAATTAGGTTTGATGTAAGTCTCCTTATTTTCTTAGGAAAGAGAGCACACCTGTGTACTTCTGTTCTGTTGTCTCTCGCCGTAAGAAGATGATGCACCTCGGAGTTGTCAGGATCCAGTGCTGGCTGTGATATCTCAAGCCCCTCTTTTCTAATAATCGATAAGTATCTGCATATGAAAGAAACCAAGATGGATTCATCATACTCAGAAACAATATTTGGATGCAATGGTTCACATCAATTAATGCATAAATAATGTACGAATTGGGCAAGCACCTTCCAGCATTGAAATTTTCGATTCCAAGGTCCTCGTCCCAGAGGAAGATGAATTCGTACTCAGAAACAATATCTGGATGCAAGAAACGCTTGGCATACCACCTATGTGAAAAAGGAAGCGGACCAAGTTACTAGAACTGACTAGGAAAAATAGAGCAAGTGCAAAAATCAGTTTCAAATTATAGCTAGGGGCAATTACCACTTAGTTTGATTCATAGCAGACACATGAATGGCCTTACCACTCCATTCCAAATCTCTCCACTCGTTTACATGACCGTCATAATGGAAAAGCATCAAAACGAAATCACTTGACATGAACTGCGAAACCGAATAACAATGAGATATCAAATCCATTGAATTCAAAGATCGAAGAAACTAAACAATGGGATGAGAAACAATTGTGCTCTCCATTACCTTCTTTACAATCTTGTTCACACTTTCCTTTTGCTTTAATCCAACTGCCATGGCCAATAAGTTTGTTGATGACTTTGAGTTCTAAAACAAAAGGAGTGCAGAACATATATCAACATTCAAATCATATTGCCTGCAACCCTAATTACCAAATTCTTCAAGCTGCCTAATCAAAACCTAAGATTAATGCTACAATCAACACAGAAACACGGGCATACCTTTTTGTTTCGGGGACCCCATAACGGTTGCATTAGGAAGTCGGAGGTCTTGGAAACAATTCCTTTAGGTAGTGCCTCAGTTCCTTCAGGCTTGCATTGAGTCTGAACATGTAGGACATCATCAATCACAACTACAAATATCAACCACTGTACATATAAATTATAAAGAAAAGTCAAGTGCCATATAAGAACAAACCTCGCAACTTTTCGAAATTGTATGTTGCACACCATTAACCGATCCCCATGTTAAAAACTTCTGCGAATAAAATGCCTAATTAGAACTAAATATGCCATTTTAAGCAGAACAGCTGAATCTGTATGCATATACATATATAATACTTATTCAATGCAGTTAACTGCACTTTTTTAAAATATGTAGTCAAGTTTATTGATGATATATTGGCAACCATATCAACTGCATATCAACAACCGTAAGGTCGAAGTATCAACAGTATTAATAATATGAACAAAGTATTCACATTTAAAAAGAGCAGGGTTAATATATAGTATAATTATATATATATTCAATTATGGCGAGGAGAGTACCTCTTTATAATCAGTGACAACAAATTGGCTCCCAAAGAAGAGAACTGCAGAAAGCATAGCAATGGTAGAAAGGAAACTGCAACTAAAGAACCTCCTCTTCGGGTCCTCGTGAGAGATCTGATTGCAGGAGCAAACAACAAAAACAAATATAAACCAAAATAATTAAAAGGGTACAAGATTGGACATGTAAAAGCCACATAAACCAATTTAAAAAAAAAAACAAATTCAACTGCATCACTTCAAAAAACACGAAGAATGGAACATAGAATAAATCAAAGGAAAATCAAGAAAATGAGGAATGCAGAGGGAGATAGAAAGTATCATACTACGAAACCAAAACCCGAGAAATTTTAAGAGAGAGATTGCAAAGAGGGACTTACAGAAGTTGGGGTCTTCAGCATCATCATCTCCAAGTTGAATAAAAACAAATTTTGAATGTTGAGAGATTGAGAAATGAGATTATGGTGATCGGAAGAAAGGAAGCAAAAATTATGAATTAAAATATGGTATATATTGGGGAGAATAAATTTAATTAAAAAGTTTCGTCAGCGGGGCTTCAAAAGCAGTCCAGCAAGTGACGCGGCACGTTTCTTGAAGCTGCAAAAGCCAATTTTCAAATAAATAAATAAAGCTACTTATGCCACGTCTCCTTCAAAAGCCGCCAAAACGCGGGAAGACTGCCTAATTCGTTGGTTACAAACCCACTTCGATGTAAAGTACCATTTTTTTTTTTTTTTTTCCGGCGTGCTATTCTCACACTGTTTTTTATGTTTTACATACATTTGTGTTAATTTATTTTTTCAATTGATTCAACTTGACGATTGAAAATTGAAAGGGATGTGTGAAAGTAAAAATAAGTGTATGAATACGAACACCATCTTTTATTTTTAGTATGATTGTATGTATTAGCACTTTCGTAGATGATATGTGACATGTGACATGTGATAATCATCTTTCGTCCAAAGTTGAATTACGGGCCTATGTAATGTAGTAAACAAATTTAATAAAATAACAATTAATCATATGAAAAAACGATAATACACTGAATAATCTTAACCAATTTTAAAGATCATTCTTATTTGATGATTTCGATCAACTTAAGGAAAATTTCCTTGAATTTGAATCATCACCAACTCAAACAGCTAGGTTGAACTAGTATTTTTAAGGAAAGTGATTTTCACACTAATTTTAGCATTTTACATATCTTTTAACTTCTCATGAACTTCACTTCCGGTAATCAGATTAAATAAATTAAACAAAACAATGAATTTGATTAAATATGAGTGTGTAAGAGGCTAAAAAAAGCATGTGTCTATTATTTTTTCTATTTTTAAATTTAGCAGAATGCCAAGGCAAAAGATCTAATACTTTGTAATAGAGCAGTGTCAAAGACTATTGAACCCTTAATTTGGGGTGGACTTTGTAATTTAAACTAGGCTCGATCTTGGACCTTAATTAATGGATCTCCACGTTACTGCTCCTTAAATCTCTCAAAAGATGAATGGATATTTCTTTGTGCAGAAGCAAATATAAGGCATTTCGCTTGCCAAGCTAACAAGTCACGAACTGTCAAACATGTTGCATGGGTCTGCTTGTTTTCACATCAATATGGGTAATTTGGATGGTCTAGAATTATCTTACGTAAAACTTGTACAAACACA